AGACATAATATCTAAGAAACCTAAGAAAATAAGATAACACCACTAGTTAACAAATATTTAATGGGTATTACAACCTAACAGTTCTATAGATAGTGTTGTAGGGAGAACTCTTTTCTGGCTTCACATAGAATGTAAAATTTTCATGGGTTTCTTAAGGATTAAAAGACTTCGATGAAAATGGAGTATATCTGTTAGAATAATGTAATTTTTAAAAAGCTGTACACACACAAGCCTCCAAAAAGAGATCCAAAAGCAAGGTAGCAGTATAAAGACCAATCTGAGTGGTAAGGATTGTGGGTAAGGTATTTGGAGATTTAAATCTGAGTAGCTCAACATAAGAAGTCTGAACTTAATACTGTAGGAAACAAATTTCTAAATGGAAAGTGACATTGAGGAAAATAAATCCAGAGGCAGAATGGTGATAAATTTCAGGAATAGACAGAATGGAGACAGAAAAATAATTAGGACATTTTATCACATTATATATGGATTACTTTCATAAAGTCATAAAACAGGTGAATGGCAACAGTAAGAGAGAGGGACTTGTGAAATAGTGAAAATAGAACTTATCAACTAATGATTTGGGATTTGATAATTTTTCTGTCTTCAGAGATAACCACATCTGGCATACACTTCAGTTATTCAGGCTTGAAACTTCAATTTCCTTGCATCTCACACTTGAAAGTTCTCTTCTCCAGAGTTTGGTTCCCCACCCCACAAACTGGCTTCTCCAACTTCCTTCCCCAACCACACAATATATTCCAGCCAAAACAAAGGACTGCATTTACTAGGTCCCTAGACACACCAGCAAGTTCCCAATCCTGTAATTTTGTTCATGCAATTTTGTCTATCTCTGATGTTCTCTCCCAACTCTGCAGATCCAAATTCTAACCATTCTTCACACAGCAGCTCAAATGCCACTTTTTCTACCAAGTCTTTCCAGAAGCCCAATTCAAAATAAGCAATTCTTCCATCACTCTACTTTTCTATAAAATACTTTTAAATCATCTCTTTATCATTTTCACTTACAAACTGTCTATCCCAGAGACCAAACATACTCAATTTATATTTGTATTCCTCCCTGATTCTCAAGTAGTGAAAGGCTAAGACTCAGAAGATAGACTGCTTGAGTTGAGTCTTTGCTGTATATTAGCTAACGTGAATTTAAGCAAGTTACATAGCCTCTCTATGTTACTATATATTTATGTATAAAATGGAGATAACAGTAGGTAGTTTATAAGTCTCTCAGAGGATTGGGCTTAAATGGTGTAAGCATCATAAATGTCTATTAAATACATAAAATCATTGTTCATAGTGGAAAAATACAACTATAGTTGTATAAAGCTTTATGACCCATATAAGGAAAGCAAAAGGTCAAAACAAAGCCAGTGTCTAAGTACAATGAGCTATATATAAATTCTTTCTGTATGCCCTAAGGTTAGCTACTTCTGTTATAGTCTTCCTTATATCAACAATGGTTGTGTTTTAGTTTGACGGCTCAATAGTCTAAGAAAATCTTTAGTTCAGCTTCTTATGGCAATAGCCACTAATTTGGTCTCCCTGCCTCCAATCTTATCCCTTTTATATTATCCCACCCCCAAGGCTCAGAATAATGTTTCTAAAATGCAAATTTGTTTTTCCATTGCTAAAAATCCCTCCACCATTCCATCTCCTTTAGTATAAAGTTTAAACCCCTCAGGTTCTCAAACAAAATCTTCCTAACCTGGCCAGCCTAGTCTCCAGCTTCATCTCTCAAAACTTCTCACCATGAAACCTAAATCACCTGGCCACACCTAAAAGGCTTTTTATATGTCATTCCTTTTGACTAGAATATAGCTGTTTGTTCGTTTGCTGGGGATGTCAAAACAAAATACCACAGACTGAGAGGCTTAAACAACAGAACTTTATTTTCTTACAATTCTGGAGGGTAGAGTCCAAGGTTAGTGTGTTGGCCTGAGGCCTGTTTCCTTGGTCTTCTTGACATATCCTCACAGGGTCTTTTCCTCTGTGCAGGCGCATCTCTGGTAAATTTTTGTGTCCAAATTTCTACCTCTTATAAGGACACCTGTCAGATTGAATTAGAGCCCACCCTAAAAGCCTCAGTTTAATTCAATCACTTCAAAAGCCCTATCCCAAAAGTGTTATATTTTGAGGTTATGAGGCTTAGGGCTTCAACATGAAAATTTTGGAATGACACAGTTTAGCTCAAATAAAACTTACCCCCTTTCTTTGCCAAGGCTAATTTTAATTTGTTTTCTCAGGATTGGCCCAAGCCTTCTCACTCCAGGCTGATTTCAGTGCTCTTTCTTTGTGTTCCTGTAGGACCTCTGTACACTTCTCAACACACTATCCTAATTGTGTCTCCCTCTTCAGATTGTATACCTTAACAACAAAGACTATGTCCTAGCATCTAGGACAGTGAACCACAGAAAGAATTTAATAAAGAAGTAGAGGAAAAGAACATGGACCTTGAAGTAAGGGAAGCATGGGTTCAAATCCTGGCTCTGTTCATTTACTTTGTAACAAAATCATTTAATGCTGAATTTGCATTCTAAAAAGGTAGCTGCACAAATATATGATTTAATCACAATAAAAATACCATTATTGGGTTGGTAACAGATACTCGAATATTAAAGATTTGATCTTGTCTGGTTTGACACCCGGTTTTACCACTCAGTAAATTACCTTGGGTATGTTTACTATTCCCTTTGCTTTAGTTGCCTGTCTATAAAAAAAAAACAAAAAACATTTCATGGTGTTAACATGAGGATAAGTTAATGTAGGTAAAACTTTTAGTACATATCACATAGTAAGTCTACAAATGTTTCCTATTATTATTATAAGAACACTTCAGGTCTGAACAGAAGTGACAGAAAACCATGAATAATTTAGCTCCTTTCATGACTAACTCATTTAAATGTGACGATTACCTTAATGCCTCAGGTTTCTTTTCAACCAAATAGGACAAACTAAAGAGGGTCAAAAGTCAGTGCTGATGATGTTTAAAAAAACAAACAAACAAAAAATCAAAATGAACATGAAATAACACATTATCATCTGCCTCATTCCTTATATTAGTATTTAACATATTTGGAGCATTGAAAAAAAAATTTTTCTACTATTTGTGACTATATACGTTAATCATTCACAGTGGAGAATAACACTTCTTGGCTTATAATTTGAACTGTAGAACCATAAAAACCTATGAACTGGAAAGGACCTTTGTGATAAAAGTCCAATCCTATAATTTCTTACAAAAATAGACTGAAGTATATTTGGAATGAGTTTTTAGGGTCTTAATGGGAGGGATGGAAATTGTAGGCAAAGGGAAAAATTTGTTCAAAAGTACTAAAGCAAGGGCCAGATGTGTTGAAACCAGTATTAGGAAATAATACCCCAAACTCCTTTTTAGCCAGTCTTTAAGATCTGTAATTTCTGAAGTAGGTAAGTTACCTGATCTATAACTTTGAAACAAAGCAGATCTAGATTTAAATCTCTAGTTGTTACATAAGCAAAGTATTTAAGCCTGATTACTGCAACTGGTTTGTTAAGTGATTAAGTTAGCTATGTATATAGAGCTCATAACTGGCGTGCCTGGCAGATTACAAGTACTCAAATACTGACTCTTTCCTACCTCTTCCATCATATGAACAAAATTTGTAAGATTTATAAAACATTCTTTCACATACTATGTGCCTGCTAAATGTCTTAGAGACTTGTTGGACATTACTTAATTTTAAAAATAGAAAACTGGAATAACTGTTGCTATGATAGTGTCTTCATCTCTGCCCTTCCTCAACACCAAATGCCCTTCACCATTTGTTAAGTGCCCTTCACCACCATTACCATGCAATTTAGAGATAACTGTAGCTCAGACTTACAAGGCAACAGCAAAGATTTGAAGGTCATGAAAAAATTTACTTAGAGAGCTCTAGAACTGGAAGAGTCTGTTTCACTTTGTTCTTATGGTCCATTTCAGCTTGATGAATTTCCAATGAAAAGTTACTATTTTGCCAGGAAAGAAACAGTAGATGTAAGTAAAAGCTGTATGAGCATGTAACTACTGCCATGACAATTTTTTTTAACTGTTTAGAGTATTTTTATGCTGGTACTAAAAAGGACAATGCCAATATCCATTATTCACGCTTAAAATTATAGCCAACCATTTCTTTTTAATGTGGCGTCTGGCTTCAAATCAATTGCAAAGAAAAGCCCAACACAACTCAGAAAGTGCTCTTTCCAATATCCTCTCCTCCCGTTTGCATCACAGATGGCCACCGAGGCTTAAGGTCTAATGTCCAAACACTAAAGCCACTCATCCTAAAAGACAGGGCTCCAGATGGATGCTGTCGGGCAGAGGATAAGAGGCTGCCAATCCTCAGAGGGGCAGCTGGGGTAAATCCCGAGGCCAGAGCCACCATCACTTCGCACCTACACTTCGGAAACAGTCTCCTTCCCACCTCGGGGGGAGGACCCGGCGTGCACACAGTACTCCCGGTACCCAGCCTCGGAACCCGGTGTCCGCGCGCGACCTCCGAGAACTGAAGGGGCGCAGGGCGGGATGGCTCCTCCGCCTTCCGGCGAAGTTGGCAAGGGCAAATTCGAGTCGCGCGCGGGAAGGTTACTCACTGGAATGGCCCGGCGTCTGCGGTCCTCCGCCCCCAATACCTCAGGAATAAGCCCCTGAAGCGGCGGAAGCCTGAGAGCAGCAGCCCAAGCTGCCGCCGCAGCCAGTAACCACTCGGGCGTGGCAGGGAAGGGCGGGCGACTTCACATCATCACTCGGCGACCTCGATTCTGCAGTGACGCTGGGTCAATGACAGCCCCCGCACAACAGGGGAAGCTCCAAGGAGACCCACTCTCCCAGCAGCCTCCACAGCCCCAACGCACGACCTACTGGGAACTGTAGTTTCCTGTTCGCCCCGCCCCCCGCTCGGAGGCCCCGCCCCCCACCCCCTTGTTGCCCGGCCCAGGGGCGAGAGGCGGGGCGGCGGGCCGGACCGGGACCTGGGCAGGGGTGGGGCGGATCCTGTCCGGGCCGGTTGCCTGGCTCTGGGACAGAGTTCCAGGCTGACGGTCTCCTGTCGCCGTCGTGCTGCACTCTGTGCTCTTTGGCCCGCGCTGGGAGCGGGCCTAGCGCTCTCCCTTCGCCCCTCTGCGAGCTGGGCTCCCGGATTCTGGTGCTCCGGGCCCGCCCTGGCCCCGTACAGCAGGCAACCTGAAGAGTCACTGGCCGTGGTCGCCGCTAGGGTAATAAGGGGAGGGAAATGACTTGGGGTCTGTGGGTGAGGAGAGGGAGTGCGGCTCGGTCCACTCATGCCCCGGGAAGCCAGGGGCTAGAACCGGCCGCCCACTTGGAACCCGGGCTGGAGTGTGGCTCAGCGAGCGGCCCCTGCGCCCGCGCGGCAGCGGCTCTGCGGGAATCCCTGGGCCGCGAGTTCCAGCGCGTGCGGTGGTCCAGGCACATGAGTGCGGGTGGACTGGTACCCCGAAGGGTTGACAGCGCCAGGTACGCGGGCAGGAGCCACCAGTGGTTCCTCTCCCCCAGCTCTCACCTTTAGCCGCGCTCACGGGTCTGGCGAATTTCTAAACCGAAGACACTGGCCCTGGCTCGATCTCTCTGCAGGTCTAGGAAGGAAACTTTAACAAAATTAAATGCTCTGGGGTCGCTTTGTCCTCAGCATTTAAGTTTAGCGTTGTTTTCTCCTCGTAGGTTTGTTGTGTCAATACTTATTTCCTCAAAACTTGGTCAGGATATGACACACGGCGCCTACCTAGCACGGAGCCTGGCACACAGTAGGCACTCAGTAAACACTTGTTGAAAGCATGAGTCATGATACTAAGTTTGGAAAATTCTACCGAGCTGTGCGTCGCTCTAATCTATGTTTTTATGGGTTCCCAAGATCACTTTGAAAATTACAGTATTTTCGAAGCTCAACAAAGAGTTAAAGCTGTTTTTTTTTTTTCTGTTTGTTTTGTTTGTATTTCCTGTGGTGTTGCCTCATTGGATGCCTAAATTAACTCAGAACCCGAGTTCTGTAAATAGATTTGCCCTTTGTTTCCACTAAAAGTGTTCAACTTTCAGATTAAAGCCTTAAGATGAACCATTCAGTTATGGAACATATTATTTATAAAGGTTTATTGTAATTAGCTTCTAGATTCATTTGCAAGGGGCTGTACTGAAATGGTATTGAAAACCCTCACAAATATAGGTCTTTTAAGTATGAGTTTTTAAAAAAGGATTTATATTCATAACTAGTGAAAGAGCATGCCCAATAAAATTGACAGCAAATCTTTTGCCCCACTCCTTTGCCAGGTGCAGCTGCTGCCCTGACCTCAAAATGTCTTGTAAAATTATCTCTTAATAGTCTGGTGTATCTAAGGCAAAGTCTGTAGGATTAAACCACCCCACAGGGACAATCCTTTTAGAACTAACAATTCTCACAGATTTTCTTGTGGATTTTTCTGAAAAATAAATGATGTCATGGACTTTCAAACTGTTTAAGACAACAAAATCAGTAACAACTTGGCAGCTATTAAGTGAAAAAAACAGGATTCAAAATCATGGTAACCAGAAAATTCAATTCATCATGATATCCCTAAACCTTCTGTTTATGGGAAAAAACTACTCCAAGTAGTCAGGTCCTTGTCTGTCTTGATTAACCCTGGATGTCCCCAGTGTCCCACACAGTGCATGAACCATTATACATGTGTGGAATGAATACTTAGCTGTTACTAGTAACAGTGCATTGACTTTGTGTGTTTGATTCATTTACTTGAATGTCTCCTTGGAACAGATTATTAGAAGTGGGAATTTTACTGGGTCACAAAGTATGAATATTTTCATGGTTATCAAACCATTGCCAACTTGCTTTCCAAATAAGCCTTAGCATTTTGTACTGCCATCATTGCATCTTTCAGAGCATCAGCTCTATCTTGTGTACAGTGTTTGGTAGTTATGAGCACTTTCAGATGAAGTATCCCATTTGATCTCAGTCATCCTGGAGGGTAGGGAGGACAGGCATTGCTTTTCCCCTTTTGTAGTACAGGAAACTCCAGTGCCTTAATTGATAGTAATGCCTGGCTGGCAATGAAGTAATCATCATCTTTCAGGTTCTTCTTCCTCCTTTTCTTTGCTTTTGGTTAATAGTGAACATCCTGAGTAAATTCACTTCTTCCTTTAGCAATAAAATTGGATACTGCTCTATAATACTTATGGTCTATAAACTCTTACTTTTCTCATTTTGCTCAGATATTTGTAGATGCCTTGATGAAATTTGTGGACTTGAGTACAATTTAAATGAAAGAAATGACATTGTTTAGAAATAAGGGAGCACCAAGTGCTAGCAAGCTTAGAACATGGCTCCCTTTTTTTATTAGTAGAGGTCTGGTGCTTTTGTATCTCCCTGAATCCAAAGATGTTACCAAGTAAAAATTCTCATCTGTTGCCAGGCACAGTGGTGCATGCCTGTGATCTCAATGGCCCGGGATGCTAAGACAGGAAGATCACAAGTTTAGAGCCAGCCTCTGCAACAGCGAGGCTCTAAGCTCAGTGAGACCCTGTCTCTAAATAAAACACAAAATATAGGGCTGGGGATGTGGCTCAGTGGTCAAGTGCCCCTGAGTTCAATCCCTAGTACCCCCTAGCCCCCCAAAAAAGATAAAAAGAAAAAAAATTTCTCATCTGTTGCAGAATTTCACAGATTATTGAGATTAATATTTTATTAGTGAAAATGGATAGGAATATTTGCATAATAATATATATATTTGATATCAACAAATTTTAAGAGTAGAATTAAGAACTAAAAATTATAAGGTAAAACAATTTCTTACAAAAAATGTCATTTTTACATAAAAACAACAAAAAATGCCTTTCTCCTTTTTTTAAACATGGTAACAAGAAAACATTGTTTCTTCATCTGTTACTAATTCTAATTCTTTCCCAGATTTGGTAATCAGGGACCCCATATGATTTAATAGGTTAATCCAATCAGAAAGTTTTGGAAAGTCTCAAAGTTTGCTAATAAATAAAAATATTGGAAATTCTTGGAGTTTATTGTAAATGGGCCCATGTATATTGAGTCCAAAATTGTAAAGTGAATCCAAAATTGCATTTCTACATTGCTTTCATGTTTGCCCAGGATTCTTTCAAAAACCAGTACAGAGAAGATAGGAGAGATGCAAATATACTGAATATACCGAAGTTTCAGAAATATTCAGAACCTCCCTTCAACTTCACTCTACCTTTCTGTGGTGATCCCAAATAGTGTTCAGTAAAAGGAAATGCTCTTTAAAGATATTTGTCAGAATGTCTCTAGTCCTGTGTCAAGGAATAGCTGCCTACATATTGAAGGAGTTTATGACAACTAGTTTTTCAAGGAACTTTTATATATAAATCTAAATTATTTGGCTTTTGTGTTTTTTTTAGTAGGATATTTCTGCATCTCAAAAGGAAGATAAATCAAAACTCTTCTTTGAAATAGATGGATTTTTGTCATTTTCTGTGAACTAAAGCGATTCAATGTCTCTTTTGGTAAGTTTTTATTAACATGATCTAACTTGGTGTCATGAGCAGTCAGATGTTTGTGCAGAGCCATAACAGAAGGCATATATTCTGATGGAGTACACTATGTTCTAAGATGTTTTTACCTGAATGACTTGTGGTTTTGAGAAATGAATTATTAGTGAGTTTTTGTCTTTTCTGAAAAGAGCTTCTTCTATATATTTTTTATATACTCCTTATCCTCATCCCTTTATCCTGTGTCCAGTTTTTCTTACATATATGTTTTACTTTGTTAGTTCCATCCAGTTAATTATGCCTCATCCTTTAAATCTTTCAAAAATCCCTTCTAAAATTTTCATCTGAATAAAGGCAAGCAAGGTAGTGTTAAAAGTAAGCTCTTTGACTTAATCAGACAAAAACATTTGGATCAATATGTAATAATGAGGTATAGATGCCTCCTTGTTTTCTGTTTATATTAGATCCATGATATCCACTTTAGATTAAATATCTCGAGGACTTTCACTTTGTTTTATATAAAGTATAATGTTTGAACGGGAATTTTTTGACATTTTTAAAAATTTTTATTTGTTCTAATTAGCTATACTTGACAGTAGGATGCATTTTGACACATCATACATAAATGGAGTATAACTTGAACAGGGAATTTTTTTATATTAAGACAATAATCTTTGTCTTTATAATTGTGAGAGAGAGCATCATCCTAATTTGAATTTGCCAAGAATGGAGCCATGGTTCAAACTCATATCTGCTAATTTACTCCATTCCAACAGTCAACAGGGCTGATAGGCAGAACTATGAAGTTAGGATACTATATCATTATTTATGTGCAAAAATGCATAAGTCATTTACTTTAAATTTATATCTTCAGAAGTGCATTGAAATACCTCATTCTCTAAAGCAGGGATCAGCAAACTTGTCTATAAAGTCCAAACAGTATTTACATACCTTGTTGTCTCTGTTACTACGGCTTTTCTGCCTTTGTAGCAGAGAAACAGCCATATCATAGGCATTGTTAATGAATAAAAGTAAATGATTGTTCCAATAAGACTTTATTCTCAAAACAGCCATGAACCAGATTTGGCACATGGACCCTATTTTGCTCATCCCTGCTTTAAAGGATTACTTAAGATTGGTAATTTTCTATCAGTTTGTAAGTTGGAGAAGATAGAAAAGACTGTTTATGTTAGTTCCTCCATTTGATAGATGAAGATTCTGAGCTGCAGGGACTGAATTCAACTTAAAATAATCAGTAAACTAGGTAAACTGCAGAAATGACTAGTTTGATTATCTAGAAATGCTGACATATCTTAAAAGAAAAGAACTTTGGTTACTTTTAAGTAACTGACTACAAAATATTAAGTAGGCATGGATGGACTTTAAAAGAATCATTTGATATTATACTCAAATGTTCATATAAATATGAATGTTGATGAGATGCTTGAAAATAATTTATTATAAAAGTCTCTCATGCAATGTGTTTATGCTTTTCTTTTGATATACTTTTTTCTTAAATGGTATAAGATCAGCTGTACCCACTAATTGATGAGGTGATAGATAACATGCAGATGTTAAATTTCTTTTAATAATACATGTTAGAGTCATGGGTTAACATGCAAGAAAACATAATTGTGATAATAGAAGTAAATCTCTTTCAATTTGCTTTGAGACATGCTTGTCACCTTAAAAAAAATAGGTTCCCAATACACTTAATATGTGGTTTAATGTTATAAACATGATCCTTATACTGAAGAAGAAAAATGAGGATCAAAATTAAAATTATTATAATGAATACAGAATAATTTTTAGCTAAATATTCAGAAATTCATCAAAAGTGCCCAATTAACAGATATAAAGTTTGCCTTCTGCACACCTAGCTATTCCTTCCTTCTCCCCCCATACTGAGGACCTCCATGGTATGGATCCTGGCTTCAAGTCCGGGCTGTTCTTTCTCTCTGTTCCCCTCCTCATTTCAAGACCTTTTTTATCCATATGCCACTCCTGCTTATCCTGCACCATACTTTTAACTTAATATATTTTTGACTTCCAGGATTGTTTCTGTACTTCACGAACACGAGTTGAATCACTCAGACCTGAAAAACAATCTGAAAGCAGTATCCATCAATACTTGGTAAGAAAATCGTTGAGTATAATTAATGCTCATCCTTTGCTTTTCTGTAATACCATTCACTCCTCAACTCTTACAGCTCTTTTTCTTTGCAGTGTCTTTTACTGTTTCTTACTCCTCTCCTGCTACTATAATTGACCTCCTCTCTTCCTAGACCAGCGCTCCCTGAAGCAGCCTCACTTATCAGTTGCTCAAGTTTCAGATTGTCCTGGTGCTAAGTCAGGTGTCCTGAAGAGACACTGGCATCAAACAGAACTGATGATTCTTAGATTTTTACTCTTTCCTGGGAACCAAATGTGTCTATAGAATATGTCCAGTTACATTTGTCAAAGGAATCTCTGCTGAATTTGATTAAAACCTTAATCCTTTTTCAAACCTCACTAACCCATTGTATTTCCTCTTTTAGTTACTGAAAACCCATCCATTAAGTTATCTTTAAGTTATCTACTAAGTCATCTTTTTAGTCATTTACTTTAGAAACTTAGAAGCTATTCTCACTTTGCCTCTAACCCGACCCCATATGTATTTAGATCCCGCATTTTAGGAGTCTGTCCATGAAAGTCCTTGAGTCCGTGCCCGCCTTAACGGAGCACTGCTGCTACTCAAGTCTCATCATCTCCCACTTGGCCTATTGCAGGTAGACTCATTGCCTGAGTCTCCAAGACACACACGTGGTCTTCTCCCACATCAGTATTCTACCAAGATAGGCCTGCTTGTTTCATTTTGCAGTTTGAAAACTTCCATTGACTTCCTAAAACCTGTAGGACAAAATCTAAACTTCTTAACATGTTAACATACTCTCAATGGTATGGAATATGTCTAGTTTTTGAGTTTTGTTTCTTGTTAGTGAATCTTAGCTCACACTCATCTTTCTACTTGAAATGCCCTTTTTTTTCTCCCCTAGAAATTCCTTCTTAGCTATAAAGAATTGGTCAAATAGTTTGATCTGTGACATCTTTTCCATTATACTTTCATCTACCATAGACATTCTCATAATAGTATTTTATCTCTCAGTGGTTGATGTGTATGTCTCTTCAACCATAATGTGATACTTATAAAAGAAGCATCCTGTCTTATTCATCTTTATCTCCCTTTGGCAGTGTGTGATATATCAAATAATATTTAAAGTAACATACTTGGTAATAAATATTTATCTGGGATCTTTTCCTCCTTTTAATCCTTAATTTAGGCTGCAGTTTTTACTACAAAATGGAACATGTCTTACTAAGTTTGCTATAAAATTAGGTAATTCCATTTGCTCCTGCTTATAATGTATCCCACTTTTATCTTGAACTGTCTTCATTTTTGTCATTTCACTTTTTAGGCACTAGTACTCTAAAGCCTTCTAGGTGCTTGCCTTCTGGTACACTAGGAGATAGTGTCCAATCCAAGATTTGGCTCAAGTAATACCTTTATGGCCAAGGTAATTCAGAGTCACCTGACTGTTGTGTCCTCCTGTTACCAAGACAGGAACTTAGAGCTCGGGAAACTTCCGTGGTGAAATACTTCAAACTTCCAAAATAGAACTACTTTATATTTTAAGGAGTGCTCTGTTATTGGAGTTAGACCAAAGTCTTAAGGAAGCAGAGGTATAATCTGTCTGAAGTCCCTAGTAGAGAAACTAAACTGGAGAAGTTATGTAACATAAATTGACACCAGCTGGAAACTGGTGCCTGATGATTAGAATAAGCTTCTGGGGCCCTCCTTGAGTTACACTTCAAAACACTACCTGTGATCTTCTATTTGTGCAATGTGTAATTCTTCATTAACATGGATCCTAAATACAGGATTACATGTTAGGTTAAAAGATGATGTTTCCAGAATAGTCTTTAGTTTTCCAAATGATTTATGTTCTTTTCTCACTTTGGAAACCTCTATACCTATTTTTTTAAAAAGCCCATTTTCTTTAATTAGCCTTTACAAATGAAAGGCTATGATGACTGAGTTGAAATGCTGCTTTTTAAAATAATGTGATTTTAGCTGGGCACAGTGGCACATGCCTATAATCCCAGAGGCTTGGGAGGCTAAGGCAGGAGGATTTCAAGTTCAAAGCCAGCCTCAGCAATTTAGTGAGGCCCTAAGCAACTCAATGTAACCCTGTCTCTAAATAAAATATAAGAAAGGGCTGGGGTTGTGGCTTAGTGGTTGAGTACCCTGAGTTTAATCCCTGGTACCAAATAAATAAATAAATAGGATTTTAGCAGTGTAATAATTCCTGAAAGGCCATCCAGTCCAATTTTCAACCCATTCAGGGAGTGTTCTCTGCAATACCATTGAGTTATTGTATAAATCCAAATTTTTAAAAAACTTCATCATAGGAAATAAAATAGAAAGATATGTTTCACCACAAGTAAAAGTCTAGCAGAATATTTCAAAAATATTTTACTAAGGGCCATTCGTGTCTTGGTTTTTAAACTGTGATTTGGGGTTTGTTCCTTAGTCTCTTAGGATCAGAAATTGGGTTTAGTCAGGAAATCTAGAGTAGATCCATAGAGGCAAATTCATTAGACTGGTGTAAACCTAGTCTCCCACTGTCACAGGAAATGGTGCTCTTACATTGCATCATCAATCCATTCTTTCCTTAAAATTGTAAGAAAGACCAAAGAATAATTAAAGGCAGTATGGAGGTTTCAGATTACTTGGAATTCATATCACAGTACTTTTCTTTTGCTGTAAGCAGGCATTGGTATGCATCAGATATTTTTTGTTTCTATTTTTCCATTTGCTGAACTGTAGTTTTAATCTGTCACACAGTAACATGAGACCATTTTGTAAGCAATGAACCGTAAAGCCTCACTTCATTATGTTTCTAGCCTTCCTGGTGAGCTTATGGGTTGATATGACTTTAAAATTTTAAAAAAATCATTATATGCTTTTTTATTTCTTATATTTTTTCTTTAAATCTGAGTTTATTTGAATACTACCTGTTCTTAGAAAACTAAATTGATTTTTTTAGATTTCTTTTCTCTTTTCATTGGGATTATTTCCAATTGCTTGGTAGAATTTCTCTACAATATTTCATTCCTCTTGGACAATATTCACCTTTTTCATCTTTAGACATGAGCTTGAAATTATTATTATTATTTTTTCTGTTCTCTTAAAAGTTTAGGGAACAAGGCTGGAAGTGTAGCTCAGTGGTAGAATGCTTGCTTAGTAATGTGCAAAGCCCTGGAATTGATCCCCAGCGTCCCCCCCCCCCCAAAAAAAAAAAGGAAAAAAAATTAGGGCTCATATCTACCACTGCATATAGAAGTGCATCTGTCACTTTCAGACTCCATTTCTTTCTTCTGAGTCAAGAATGTGAAAAGAAGTTAGCACAATTCCTAGCACATAGTAATGTTATTTTTTCCCCTTTGTCTGCTTCCCCGCCCTGAAGGTAGTAACAAGATTCCTGCCACCTGCTGGTGCCAGTAAAGACTTGTAAGTGTTCTTTAGGGTCCTGATGTCCTTTAGAAGATCCTCATGGCTATCATATGACACCAGTGGTTTAGGCTTCTTCTTTCTCCTGTATGTGTGTTTATTTCAATGCCACTATATTTAGGTGCAAACCTGACCCTGACTTCAAAGCACCCCATGAGATCTGGTGGTCCTTCACTAGGGATGTACCCTATTTCTTTTTGACCTCCCTTTTGATTCATCTTATGAAAAACTTCTTTAGCAATTTTAATAGGCAAATTGTTTCCTGTTAACAGCTGCTCTAGTAGAGCATGTACCTTGTAGGAGAAATGGATATAACTGGCAACTACTAGAGTAAAGAGCACAAGCATGAGATTTCCCTCACAGGTTGCTGCAGCTCTTCTGATGATACATTTATTAGATACCCTGAAGAATTATCAGGCATTCTCAGCAACTTCTAAAAATTTTATAAGAAATTTCATTGAATAGTATTCCTGCTTATTTATAATTCTGCTTTTCCTGTCGACTTCCCCTTTATAGGTGAAGAGCTCCCCAACTCACATCAATTAGCAATTGGTAAATTCCTTTTAGATCTTAAAAATTTCTTCAGTATCTTTCAGTGCCTTCCTAATGAGTACCTATTTGAAAATACATCAGTACTTATATTGAGGAGGGGGAGCCTACTTGGGGAACTAAGAAAAAAATTTACTTATTTTGTTTTCATCTTGTAAAAAAAAACACAGGTCAATGAGCCAACTGTTTCCTGGTCGCCTCCATCTGCTAGAGCCCATGAAGTGATATGTTCCACCAATGTTTCTCACTATGAACTACAAGTAGAAATAGGTAATAATCCTGGATTTCACATAACTGACCCTTCATTGCTAGAAATAAAATTAATGACAAAAAATTATTTTAGAGGCAAATCTTTTTCTGTTGTAACCTATAGCATAAAACTGGGTATTAATAATGTCAATCAAATATTGAATTAATTTTATATCTATCTCAAAATAATGACCCAGAATTTAAGATTACTGTCTAGAAGTTTTACGTTTCCATTGAAGTACATTCAGAGAAGGAAGACACAAATTCAAAAACTTATTATTTTTTTTCTTTATTGTGGGAAGCTTCTAGTTTTGTGGGTTTAATTTTATACTGAGTATGGATTAAAATCACATAATGTAAATTTTTTTGATATGGGGTTTTGTTGCCCATCTAGTCTCAAACTCCTAAACTCAAGCAATCCTCCTACCTCAGCATCCTGAGAATACAGGCGAATAACACTGTGTACAACTTACAGCATGTAAATTTTCTCAGTCGTAGACCTTTAACCAATTACTTTCTAATTTAAAATTTTATCCAAAATTCCATTTATAGTAGAAATATTTCTCAGTTAAGTGTGCAATAAAATGAGTATTCGTTTATAGCTTTCTATATGTGAAATATTCTATATAACTCTGAACATTGAGAAATACCTTTTAAATCAGTGAGTGGTAGATTCTGGGGATGCAAACACTTGAGGAGTTGTGTTAGTTGGCTTATGATTACTATGATCAAAAAATCCATCACTGTGACAACTTAAAGGGGGAAAAGTTTATTTTGGCTCATTGTTTCAGCAGTTCAGTCTATGGTGGTCTGACTCTACTGACTCCCAAGATGAGGCAGAACATCATGGTGGAAGCCTGTGGTGAAGGAGCACTGCTCCATTTGTGATGGCCAGGAAGAAGAAAGAGAAAGGAGAGTGGGCTGCAGGGAAGATGAACCCTTCCAGAGCACCCACTCTGACCCTATGAGCTGCCTTCTCCAGCCACACCCCACTTGCCTACAGTTACCACCCAGTTTGTCCTTTCAAACTAGGATGGACTGATTAGATTCTAGCACTCTCACAATCCAATCATTTCACCTCCAAAATATTCCTATGCAGGAGCTTTTGAGGGATACCTCATCTAAACCATAACATTTTATTCTCTGGCACCCAAAATCTCATGTACATCTCACAATGCAAAATGCACCTCTGGGAAGATGACGACATTAGATAGTGCTGTTTCATGGTCTTGAGAGTACTACAGTAGAGGTATGTGCTAAATGTTCTGGGAGCAGAGAAGATTGAGCATACGACCAAACCTCTAGGAGTCAAAGAAAAAAATCAGGAAAAGTTTGCTACATGTTCTAGTTAGTTTTTGTTGTTGTTGTAAACAGCAAAAAACAATACTGGTAACTTATGCAAAAAGGGAATTCTTGAACAATACTGTTCAAGAACAATACTCACAGAATTGTTGACTAGAGAAATAGGCTTGGAAGAATCCCAAAGGAGTTGAGTGAATAAGACAAGAGCCATGGACTAGGCAGCATGGTGCACTACTTAGTTGGGTATAGCTGCCACAGACATGGGGCCTCATTGCAATGAGTTCTGATAACCCCTACTTCTTATGTCACTCCCTCTATCCTCCAGTTGGCCATGCATAGAGCACATGCCAGGGTCAAGGAGATCAAGGGAGAATAAGAATCTTACCTGGTAGCAAATTTATCAGCATTAGAAAGGCAATTTATCAGCATCTGAAAGGCAATTCAGATGGTGCCAGTCTAAGAAAGGTAAAAATGCTTACCACAGTAAATGACTGCAGAAGGATGGTTGAAGAATGCTACATAGTTCCTCTGTAAATAGAAGTGGAAAGAAGAGTGGGCAGTGGTAGGAAATAAATCTGCAAAGGCATGTAGGGAACACATTGTGAAGGACTTTATAAGATATATTTAGAAGTTCAGACTGCTGGTCCCCACATCTTATCCACTTTCTTAAGGATTTAAGGCAGAAGTTTGGAATTTATCCTCTTAGTGCTAGAGAGACATTGTTGATAATGGCACTGGTAATGGTGGCATCTAACAGTCATTATGCTGAACAGTAACATGTGTTTTCTCCATTTAACCCTTTATCACTTTTGTTTTGCAGAGTCTCAGTAGCCTCAGCTATAACAGCTAGAGATTTCAAATCATCTATATATTATCTTATACAAATAGATAGATAGATAGATACAATTATAATAGCTAGAAATTTGAAACCAGATCTTTCTGACTGTGGGGTCTAAGCTTTCAACTGTTGCACCACAGTACCCTCCTACTGATAAAATGCCAACTTTAGAACAACTCTGGTAGTAGTTTTAGATCAGTGATTCACAACCAGAAATATCATCCCTATTACCTGTGTCTTTTACAAAATTGCAATGTCTGTATTCCATTACAGAGCCCTTAATCAATATTTCTAGGGAATGGGACCTAAGCATAGGCACTTTGAAGAAGTTCTCTCATAATTCTAGTACATGCCATGGTTGAGAATACAGGGAGTGGTATATATCCAGGGAGAGAGGAAGGACTTCAATTAAGGCAGGAAGTAGACTCTGGAGAGGAGAACGTGAGCATAATTTCATTTCAGAGGTAAAACAGACAGATTTTGGTGACTGGATAGAAGGAGAGAACTGACATCGATCGGGTGCTTGTTAATAGGTGCACAGTGTCACACTTAAAAATGTACCACCAAAGGCTGGTGAGTGTGCCAAACAACTGCAGGTCTCATACATTGTAGGAATGCGAAATAGTTCAGCCACTTTTGGAAACAGTTGGGCAACTTATAAATTTAAACATAATTTACTCCATGGCCCATCAGTTTGACCCTCAGGTATTTTGTCAAAGAGAGATGAAAGCATATGTCTCCTTAAAGACCTGTGCAGGGGTGTTTTTGCCAGCTCTATTTCTAGCCACCAAAAATTGAAAACAGCTCAAGTATCCACCAACCTGTGAATGGATAAATAAATTCTCCATACATAACTCAGCAATAGAAAAATAACTACTGATGTGACAGGTGAATCTCAAAACCATTATGCTGGGGGAAAGAAGCTAAACACAAAAGTTTACATCCTTTTTGATATCATTTAGATGACAAATAAAAATCAGATCAATAATTGTCAGGTCCTAGAAATAAAGTAGGAGGTAGCCAAATGACATTCTGTTTTTGTTTGTTTAAGAGAGAAAATTTTTTTTTAATATTTATTTTTCAGTTTTCGGTGGACACAACATCTTTATTTTATTTTTATCTGATACTGAGGTTCGAACCCAGCACCCCATGCATGCCAGGCAAGCGCGTTACCGCTTGAGCCACATCCCCAGCCCTCCATTTTTTTGACTATATCACAACTTGCTAAAGTTACAATTTTAGCTGTTATAGTAGATATATAATGGTCTGGCATTATTTTAATTTGCATTTCCCTATCTCATATCTTTTCACTCATTTTTTGGACTTTCCCATATCTTATTTTGTGAATTGCCTGTTAATCTTCTGTCTTTTTTTTAATTGGACTGCTTGTCACCTTACAGAGTCATAGGAGTTCTTTATGTATTCTGAATGGAAGTTTTATCAGATATAAGTATTATTAATACTTTTAGTTAGTGGTTTGCCTTCTCACTTAATAATTTTTTTAAGAACAGGAGTTTCTAATTTTGATAAAGTACACAGTGTCAATTTTTTCTTTTTGTTGCTATCTTTAATTTTATGTCTTATTACAGGAAGAGGATTTGATAATTTTACTTCTGTCCATCTCGCACGGCATACTCCTACAGGAACACTGGTGACTATAAAAATTACAAATCTGGAAAACTGCACTGAAGAACGCCTAAAAGCTTTGCAGGTAACAGTAGGAAGAAAAGGACATACTTAATGGAATGTCTGTTTGAGGGGATAGATTTCTTTCCTCTTATCAACACAAAGTTACTGTATTGGAAAACACACTTGACAGCCAGATCCACTCTGTGAAAGAACAAATACATTCAAACTTTGGTAACGACTGTTAATTCCTTCAAGTGACTCTCGTATTAAAAAGTGCTATCCTCTATAAAATGGGAACCATGTATTTCATGGCATGGCTGTGAGATTTAGAGGGATGGAAACAAAAAGAACAGAGCTTAGTGTAAGAAGCTCCCTGGGTGTTTAGCTGCCACTACTGCTGCTCTCTTATAAGAAAAATAAAGGTTGTAAAAATGTCTTGTCTCTTGTATGTTTATCCTAGAAAGCAGTGATTCTATCCCACTTTTTCCGGCACCCCAATATTACAACTTATTGGACAGTTTTCACTGTGGGCAGCTGGCTTTGGGTTATTTCTCCATTTATGGCTTATGGTAAGAAAACTGGTATTAAATAAAATAAATCATTGTTTAGTCTGGATGCTATCATTACAAAGATGAATGAGATCTTAGATTTATTATTCATTGCTTTTAATTTATATATCTAATGACCAATTCTAGATTTTATGATATCTATATTTTATGATATATTTCTCTATCATGTTGACTTTCGGTCTTCAGAAAAAAGTATAATGGGTATGATGATCAATGAAACCAACATTAATTCTCTAAGAATTTTATGCCATTGCTCAAGCTATCTCTTCCCCTGTTTCAGAGAGCATCTGTAATTTTGCAGGAAAATAGTTTTCCCACCTATGCATACCATTCATGTTCACTGCACTGTGAACCAATTTCATGTTATTATAAATGTGTGTGTATGCCCGTCTCCCTCACCGGTGATTCTTGAGAGCAAGGAGCATTTATATTTTCTGTTTTGGGTCCCCCAAGTGCTCACATTTATTCAAGACTTATTTATTCAAGAGTGTTGAATAAATAAGTGAATAAATTGTATAGCTTGGATCTTTATAACAGCTTTTGTGGATTTCTTCTGGATTTAAAACATTACATATTACATACATATGCAATATGTATTTTTACTGGTAATAATGAAAAATCATTAATTCTCTTTCCTAACTTTTTAGGTCATTAGAAAAAAACTGTGTATGTATGTGTGTGTTGCTGGGGATGGAACCATGCTAGGCAAGCACTCTACCACTAAGTTATATCCCCAGCCAAGAAAAAAGAGTCTTATAGATTATTGAAGAAAACTCACTTTCACATGGGAAAGTAGTTAGGTTCCCAACTAACAGGTGTATGTGTGAGTTTATGGTTGAAAAGAACACTTTTTAAAACATAGATGGATTCCGTTTATGTATGATGTGTCCAAATGAATTTACTGTCATATATAAATAATTAGAACAAATAAATACATTAAAAAAACATAGATGGGAGCAAAATCACTTTCAATGTTCATGTAAAGATGTCAGGGTTCTTTCAGGTTCAGCAAGTCAGCTCTTGAGGACCTACTTTCCTGAAGGAATGAGCGAAGATTTAATAAGAAACATTCTCTTTGGAGCAGTGCGTGGGTTGAACTATCTGCACCAAAATGGCTGTATTCATAGGTATTTACTTATTTGCATTTTACAAAATTAAAGAGTTGTAAGACATCTTTTAGGAAAGAAAGTTGTTAGGAGGAAGTAAAAAAGAAGTTTAAAAAGAAAAAAGGGATGAGAAATATATGAACAAAAATTTAGGAAGGAAGGAGCCAGTGGATGCTTACCTTTTATCCAACCATTTTGAGACCACATCATCTGTGCCAAGTGCTGTCCTTGGTGCTGGTGGAGCACCTGACCTAACAGAGCATGCAGTCTGAATCTCATGAGGGATATAAGAACCTGTATGTTCAGAGTATCAGTTGTAGGGAAGGGGGTCCTCATTAGCTGAATTTTTTGTTGGTTTCTCTTTTTTTAAACAAACAAAGAGTTTCTTTATCTGCTTTCCAGCTTTTATACACACACACAAACACACACACACACACACACACACACACACATATATATATATATATATATATATATATATAATTATCAAATTATAATTAATCCTTTCTTAATTTTTGAAATATCTTGCAGCACCCTGAGATTATCATATTAAGTATAAATTCTCATTACCAAACTGCAGTTGCAGAAGTAATTGACTGAATGTGAAAAGCAGTGTTCTTTTAAGATATGCTGGGACTTTTTTTTGCTTTTTAATTAAGTTGCTTTTAAATAAGCTTGCTTTCTTATTGTTTTGTTTCAATTTCCTTGAAGCCTTTGACTTGTAATTTGTTTATTAGCAGCATTTTGTTAACTGAGGATTTCAAATGGTATATTCTAATTTACTGAAGTTTCCATATACCTTACCAGTGTCTTGGCTGACCTGCTTTCTTAGTGTCCAAATTCAGTGTTTGGGGGAAAAAAATAAGACTCTTTTATTATTTATCTGGCAAAGGGAATTTTTATACAAAATATCTTTATAAATGATGTTATATCATGAGAGACTGTTTTTAATGGATAATATCACATTTAACCTTAAATTATAACCTTATCTCTTCAAATATTATTTGATATTTTGGACACTTTGGGTGTTTTTTGCAACAACCTAAAATAGTGAAATTAATAACTTTATTCCATTCCTTATTTGAAAAAAATTACCAGTTCCATACATGTAGCTGTCATTTGTATTTTCTTTGTTCTAGTGCTATATTAAGGAGGTGGAAGACTTCCTTAATTCCCTCAACATTTACATATGTAGAGCAGTATATATGAGGCACTGTTATTTATAAAGGGTATTTAAGTTCCAAGGATAGATTCATTCTGACCAGACTTTTATTCTCTCTTTATGGGCCAGATTCCTAGTACTTAGGACTGTTTCTTTTTGTTCTAGGAGTTTTAAAGCCAGCCACATCCTCATTTCTGGTGATGGCCTAGTGACCCTCTCTGGCCTGTCCCACCTGCATAGTTTGGTTAAGCACGGACAGAGGCATAGGGCTGTGTTTGATTTCCCACAGTTCAGCACATCAGTGCAGCCGTGGCTGAGCCCAGAACTACTGAGACAGGTCAGGTGTGGCCGTGGCATTGGGTTGTCTGTGCGTCTCGAGTGTCTTCTGAGTTTGATTAAAGGACAGTTGCATCCTTATATTTGGATTGATGAATGGCCTACTACAAGACTTTCCCTCTTTCTTGTCAAAATTATGTTAGGAATTTTTAATCATAAGCCATACATTAGGTAGATCTTGATTTTTGCGCTTACGGGTATTTTTCCCCACTGTCATTCACCATATTTTATCAAAAGAGCACATGTTTATTAACTTTTTATTAATTTTTTTGCACTAAAGGACATCAAATTAATTGTATTCTCTAGGATTTACATGGATATAATGTGAAGTCAGATATTTACAGTGTTGGGATAACAGCATGTGAATTAGCCAGTGGGCAAGTACCTTTCCAGGACATGCAGAAAACTCAGGTAAGTGCTACTAAAATTACTGAACTTCTTCCCTTTCATAGGTTCTCTTACACTGTAGATAATTTTTGTTAAACATGTTTATTGTAGACTCTTAGGAACTTTATTGTTATTATTGTTGTTTTAATATTTTGCCTGAAAAGGGTTGAAGGAAATTTTTGGGTTTTTTTAGATGCTGTTACAGAAACTGAAAGGTCCTCCATATAGCCCACTGGATATCAGTATTTTCCCACAATCAGACTCTAGAATGAAGAATTCCCGGTCAGGCATAGACTCTGGAATTGGAGAGAGTGTACTTGTCTCCAGCGGAACTCACACAGTCAATAGTGACCGACTGCACACACCATCCTCAAAAACCTTCTCTCCTGCCTTCTTTAGCTTGGTACAGCTTTGTTTGCAGCAAGATCCTGAGAAAAGGTAATATTGGTTATCTATAAATAGCACAAAATATACATGTTGATTTCATATAGAAGATTTGTGATATTACCCTTCCTGTAAAATTCAAATCTTTTGATCAAAAAACTAGCCTAATATAGAAAATATCAATGCTGAGGACAACTTGAGATGAAAAGCAAATGAGAACATTGAATTAATAGCACAAGTTGGGCTCTAGTCTTAGTTGTACCATTTCCTAGCCAACTCACCTGTAAAAATCTGTTCCTTTTCCTGGACATTAATTAGTACATTTATGTTAAGACATTTTAGAAACCTCCAAACAGTATAAAAATATAAATTGCTCTTATTATACTAATATAAATTATTACTCTGCATAGCTATATATTAGCATTAGTATTTTGGAAAGAAGATATGTTTAGTTATCTGTTTTTAGCCCCTTAGTGCCTCATATAGTTCCTTGTAAATAGTATGTGCACAATAAATGTTGAGTATAGATTAATTGACGGATACTTCTAGAATTAATGCTTCCCATTAGTCAAGATTGGAACTAAGAATTTGGCTTTGGACATATATTAATTTTCTTTGTAATTTTTAGTTGGGTTTTATGGCTCTAAACCTAATTTCTAATAATTTCTAGTATATATCTTAAATCTACATTCTAATATGAGGTTCTGTTTTTTCAATAACTTTTTAAAAATTTCAGGCCATCAGCAAGCAGCTTATTGTCCCATGTATTCTTCAAACAGGTAAGCTGATCTGTTGTCCAGATATTTTTAAGTACTATTAAAAAGTCATTTCATTGGCTAAAGGAATACTTACGGTTGTCAAGAGTCTGACTAGTAACTTTCTTACAAAATAAAGCTAAAAAGAAAAAAATTTTTGGTAATTTAATTACATATAGACTTTCTAAAAGATTCATATTCTGTAAAACAAAGTGAGTAAAAGCAAATTGGACTACCATCAGATGCTATTATATGTTCAGTGTATGTTTTCATTAGAGACATTTTCTTTTTCTGTATTGGCTAGAAATGATGAAAGGACAAAATAATTCTGATAAAAATCAGTTTACTTGGCTCTTTATTCTTTTTTTCAGATTATCAGTCAAAAGCATTTTTAGGGAAAATACCTAAGAACAATTTAAACACTTAAAAAACAGTTTCTTTAATGATTTTTTTTATTAGTAACAGAACTGACATATTAAATTCATCTACCAACAGCCCTATTTTGGATTTCCTTAACAGATGAAAGAAGAAAGCCAGGATTCAATACTCTCACTACTGCCTCCTGCTTATAATAAGCCATCAGAAGCAGTACCTCCAATGTTGCCTTGGACTGAGCCAGAATGTGATTTTCCTAACAAAAAAGACTTGTACTGGGAATTTTAGGGCTACCAACTCATTTTATGTCCTGTATACTTGACACTTTCTCCTTGCTGCTTTTTCTTCTATATTGCTAGGTATAAATACCAGAATTATACTTGAAAATACAGTTGGTGCACTGGAGAATCTACCATTTAAAACCACTCTGCTCACAGGGGTATGAAGCCATAACCCCTCTATTTAGAGTGCTTTCACAACTCCAGGGAAACATCAGAATTAGCTACAGATAGTGTCATCTAATTTTCAGTTTTTTTTCCCAAGCTGTGACTAACTCTTCTCTTGATCTCCCAGTATAATTTTTGAGCCAGTTAGTTTTTTGACATTTTGCTGTCCTCAGAGGATAGTGCTTCCAAGTACATCTTTATCTTCCAAATTCTCCAGCCTTTTGATCAGCTCTTGTTAGACCAAGGCTAGTCTATCTTGGCACTAAACCCTTATTTTGGGAAAGGGAAAATGTTTATCCTATTCCTTTTTCTTCTGTTAAAACATATGGTAACATCACACTGAGCCTCACTCACTTTAAATGATTCACTTGAAACACATAGAGAAGATATAATTTGCTTTTTTAAAAAGGGGGGCTAAAGTGACACTTTTCTACCTATGTAAATTATAGATCCTAAATTCATGCACCCTGAGGGAGCTCAATAAAAATTTATTGAATCCAGCTTATGCTTTTATTTATTTTCCATGTGTGGTTTGATAAAGTTGAAACAGATTTCAATTTGTTTAGTCAAGAAAAGCTGTGTCTCAAACTGATTTACATAACCTTATAGACTGGGGACAACCCAATGGAAGCAAAAGGCATTTTGGCCTTTGACATAATTATTGCTCCTGTCACAGGTGCAACACTTAAGGGCATAGAGGTCTTAATTAATGATATTTCCTTATTAGTAAAAGAGGGATACTACATCTCAAAAAGTGTAGTTTGAGTGGTGGTGAATTGGAGCCTATCAGTTGATTTTTGTAATCTTTACACTTTTATTTATATTACACTAAAAATTATTTTTAAATGATTATCTTAAGACTAAAAAATTAAAACCAAAATGATAAATAATATACAAATTCACAAACAACTTTAACATAATCCCTTTTATGTTTATTGGTTAGATCCTTTCAAGAACAAAGATTGGGTTACTCCTTTTAGTGCAGCCACCAAAACCTGCCAAGGTGAAAGAATTTAGATTGGGTAGTAGAGGAGGGAGAGGATAAAGACCAGTCAAGGCCCTGAGAGCAGCTGCAGTGGTGGGGGCTGAGGTTCATCCCACCAACCTCTCCCTTCTGAATTCCCCTTAGTCAGAGTCCCAGGGGTACCTCACAGGTTCTCCCACATCTGTAGGGTAGTTCTGCATGTGTATAGTGCAAAAGGTGGGTTGAGAGCTCATAAATGGTGCCTCTCAGATCTATGGGAATATTAAGGTTCTCCAGAGACAAGAGAATGTGTGCACATATAATATATATGTGTATGTCTGTCATATATACATATGTGTAAAATGTATATTTTTTATGTAATAAAATATATAAAATCTTTATGTACAGCAGTTGCTCTTGGGGCTTCATCCTCTTCATCCCTCCTATCCATTCTGAATGTTTTCTCCTTGGAAGGTCTTAGTAGCTGCATTAAGAGAGTAATCCCAACCTTCCTTCTTAAAAAGGTCTAGGCAATAATATAAAAAGGATTGTGTTTCAAGTTTCTTATTAACTTGTATACAAATATATGTATATATGCACACATTTATTTTGAAGAATCAACTCATGCAATTGCAGAAGCTGACAGGTTCCTGATGTGCTTTGTGAGCCCATAGTAGAGTTCAAGTCCAAAGGTTGTCAGGCTTAAGACCTAGGAATTGTGAATGTTTCAGTTTGAGGCCAGACAGGGAAAAACCAGTGTCTCAGTTAAAGGCAGTTGGGTGAGGGGAACTTACTTGCTGAGGGGAACTTACTTGGTGAAGGTTCAGCCTTTTTGACCTAGTCAAGTCTTTAACTGATTGTGTAAGGCTCACCCACATTAGGGATGACAGTCTGTTTTACTAGCTCACCAACTGAAATGTTGATTTCTTCCAAAAACACCCTTACAGAAAACCCAGAATAATATTTCACATATCTGTGTATCCTGTGGCCTAGTACTATTGAGCCATAAAATTAACCATGACATTGGGTATTATAACTGACAGCTTCATCTTTTGCATGAGTACCTTGAATTTTCTATCATAGTCACCTCACTTGCTGTATTGGTTTTCTATGGCTGCTATACCAAATCACAAATTTAGTGGCTTAAAACAATACCAACTTATTGTTTTGTAGTTCTATAATTTGGGTCTCAGGTAAATCTGAGGTGTGGGCAGGCTGCATTCTTTCTGGAGGCTCTGTAGGAGAATCCATTTTACCCTGCTGTCTCCTGCATTTAGAGTTATCCATATCCCTCAGCTTATAGCCCACCTCAGCTTATTGTCCAACTTCAAAGTCAGCAATGTTGGGAAGAGTCTTTTTTTCCCATATATTACATATATAGAGCACAATTTTTCATACCTCTGGTTGTATATAAAGTATGTTCACCAATTCATGTCTTCATACATGTACTTTGGATAATGATGTCCATCACATTCCACCATCACTGCTAACCCCCTGACCTCTCCCTTCCCCTCCCACCCCTCTGCCCTATCTAGAGTTCATCTGTTCCTCCCATGCTCCCCCTCTCTACCCCACTATGAGTCAGCCTTCTTATATCAGAGAAAACATTTGGCATTTGTTTTTGGGGATTGGCAAACTTCACTTAGCATTATCTTCTCCAACTCCATCCATTTACCTGCAAATGCCATGATTTTATTCTCTTTTAATGCTGAGTAATATTCCATTGTGTATATATGCCACATTTTTTAATCCATTCATCTACCGAAGGGCATCTAGATTGGTCCCACAGTTTAGCTATTGTGAATTGTGCTGCTATAAACTTTGATGTGGTTGTGTCCCTGTAGTATGGTGTTTTTAAGTCCTTTGGGTATAGACCAAGGCATGAGATAGCTGGATCAAATGGTGGTTCCATTCCCAGTTCTCCAAGAAATCTCCATACTGCTTTCCATATTGGTTGCACCAATTTGCAGTCCCACCAGCAATGTATGAGTGTACCTTTTCCCCCACGTCATCCCCATTGAGAAGAGTCTTCATACTGTCATTTCGCTGGCTTTCTTCCCATTCAATTTTTTTTTTTTTTTGGTACCAGGTATTTAACCCAGGGTCACTTAACCACTGAGCCACATCCTGAACCCTTTTATTTTTTATTTTGAGACAGGGTTTCATTAAGTTGCTTAGGGCCTCACTAGGTTGCTGAGACTGTCTTTGAACTTTTGATCCTCCTGCCTTAGCCTCCCGAGTTGCTGGGATTATAGGAATGCATCACCATGCCCAGACATTTTTCTTTTTAAACACCCTAGTGATTTATACTGGTCATAGCCAAATAATACAAGGTAATTTCCCTGCCACATAGTCAGAGATAAGCAACTTTGATTCCCCTTAGTTGTACAACCTCACATATTCATAGGTTCTAGTGTTTACTGTGTTGTCATCTTTGGGATGATATAATTCTTCCTATTATACTTTCCTCACTCCAGTCCTTATTCCTGGCAGCCAGGATAGTAAGTCAGACCTTTTTGTTATGGTTTGGATGTAAGGTATTCACCAAAAGCTCACATGTGAGACAATGAAAGAAGATTCAGACAAGAAATGTTATAAGGTCCTTAACCAGTCATCGAATTAGTCTCCTGATGGGATTAATTGAGTGGTAGCTGAAGGCAAATGGGGTGTGGCTGGAGGAGGTGAAGCATTGGGGGCATGGCTTTCAGGTATATATTTGTATCTGGCAAGTATAGCTCTCTCTCTCTCTCTCTGCTTCCTGATCATGACTTGAGTCACTTCCCTCTGCCATGATATCCTGCTTCACCTGGAGCCCCAAGGAATGGAGTCTGCTGTCTATGAATTGAGACCTCTGAAACCATAAGCCCCCAGATAAACTTTTCCTCCTCTACAGGTATTCTGGTTGGTCTTTTAGTCACAGCAGTGAAAAAGCTGACTAAACCAACTTTCCTAGCAGACAAAAGCATTTTGTGATGAGTGGCTTTGGCTAGGGGACTCTCCATCAGCTGTGCTGAAATTAACATAGTGACACTGCATTCTGACATTTCCTGGTCTACCCTGTGTTCTTCCCTCTTTCACAGTGGTCAGACCTACTCCATGACTGACAGATCTCCCAGTCTCCTCATTTTTCCTCAAAGGCTCCCCACTCTCCTCCAAAAAAATCTTTTTCATGTCTCTTACTGCTGCTCTGACAAATTACCACAGATTTAATTGCTTAACACAATTTGTTATCTTAAAGTTCTGGAGGCCTTAAGTTTAAAATGGGTTGACAGGGCTACATTCTTTCTGGAGCCTCTAAAGGAGAATCTCTTACCTTTCAGCAACTAGAGGCTTCCTGATTTCCTTTGCTGCATGACTTCAACTTCTACGTCTGTGGCCACATCACCTCTGATTGACCCTTATGCCAAGTAATCCAGGAAATTTTCCCACCTCAGGACCCTTAATTATAGTTTGCAAAATCCCCTTCTGGAATTAGGATACGGACAGGTTTGGGGGCCATTAGTTTGACTGCAGCATAATGTCTAACTTTATCTTGATGCCTGCTTTTTGAAGGACCCAAGCTAGCATAGTCGTCTGAGTTAAAACACCTGTAAGCTTCTATAGAGCTTTCCTTAACACAAATCTATTTTAATGACTTCTGTGTTTATGTCTCTGACTAGTCAGTCTGTGGACTCTTCAAGACTATAGTCTTATTCTAAATACTAGGATACTCCTAGTATTTAGCAAAAATGTCTGACGTATTATAGATGTTTAATAAATATTTAACAAATTCTTTCTTGAATAAAGTGTATGAATTTTAAAAAGGACTTGACAATTTTAGAGATTTCTATGGTAAGAAATTTTTAATTCTTTGTGGGTCACAATATTGTCATTAAAATTGTAATGAGCTAAAGGAACTTGAGATTTCCATCTAGTAAGTAATTTCTCCTTTACTTCAAGCCAGATCAGAGATTTTCCTCTTAAGCACCATCGATCAATTGCCTATTAGCTCTCAAATCCATTTCTTCACTCTTTCTTGCTCTGCTTAACCAGGAACTGTTTCCCATGCACCCTCCTTCTCCGGTGTCCAGGGAAGAAACATGGTATTTCTCACCCTGTGCCCCATTCCTGTTTCCTGGCAATGGCTGTATCTTTTTTTTAAAGAGAGAGAGAATTTTAATATTTATTTTTTAGTTTTTGGCGGACACAACATCTTTGTTTGTATGTGGTGCTGAGGAACGAACCCGGGCCGCATGCATGCCAGGCGAGTGTGCTACCGCTTGAGCCACATCCCCAGCCCCAATGGCTGTATCTTGTCTTCCAGCTTTAAGACTCTGATAACTTCACCTTCTCCTGCTTCCCCTTCAGCTCAGAGGTGGGAACACTTTCAGTTTTTGCTAATCTCTGGGTTCCCTCACTAACGCTTTTGTTTTCTTAGCCTTAGTTCCATTGTTCATAAAACCAATTTCCTGTATTCCTTCTACCCGAAAGTTCTGGAGTTGTGTTTTCCCAGTTCCATGCTAACTGGTACAAGTATAATGGCTCCTTGTCTTAAAGG